TGATGCTTGATTTTGACACCAACGACTTGCACGTGCAAAATGCTAAGTTGCTCTTAGAAGTTACACATGAATGATTGTAGATAATCAAATGCAAAGACTGAATAATAAATGAAAGACAATTTTTAAAGTGATTCGGATGCTTAAAGTGAATTCTACATCCATTGTTATCTTATATATGAGAAATTACAAGAGATCGCGCATAGCGAACAATGAGTAGAGGTATAATGATTGATAATTCAGACAGAATATCAAGTCAGTCTCTTTCTCATAGGTTATCTTTGCTCTAAGAATATAGATTACAATCAGAATGATGGTTTTTTGTGTATCAGAATCCCGAAAATGAGAGGGCGGAGTCCTCTATTTATAGTAGAGGAAATCAAGGTAATGATTGCAAATTTGTAAGTGGGTAGGTGTCGTGCAAGTCATTCCTTGCCTCACATTGGCTGATAACTTAGGATATATCCTCAAGTTGCCTGGGGCTTGGACAAGTGTGCATCTCCCATTCACTCATAGACAAAACTCGAATCTGCCAAGTTGGTGATAGCCGTATTCTCTCTATCTTCGGGTGACGTGGCAGCTCCTGGACGATGCAAAATTTTCCTGAACTCTGATTGGAGCTAGCTGATGCATGCTTACATTAGCCCTAATTTTTTAGGAATAACACGATATTATAACATTTGGGTTTGTAATATTACTTGTTTAAACTTCTAGGTCTAATTGCACTAACAATAAACCTAAAGGTTTTTCAGAATAAATGTTGAGCTCAGCTAAGTAATAGAATAATAGTGGTAGTCCTCAGTTAATTCAATAATTAAGTTTGTAACTAAATAAACTAATATGCACCGAACTCAAAATGTAGGATTGGAGTATTTGCATAGTGCTTGTAAGCCACCCATAGTCCACAGAGATGTTAAATCCACAAATAGTTTGGTGAATGAAAATTTCCAAGCCAAATTATCTGATTTTGGCCTTTCCAGAATATTTCCAATTGAAGGTGGAACTCATGTCTCAACCACAGTTGCTGGAACCCCTAGTTACCTTGACCTTGAGTAAGTACATTGTTATTGGATAAGTGTTAACTGGCATGAAAGAAATTTTTGTTCTTAAATCTTAATTTATTGGAAATTAGCACAAAATGAATTCATGTATGCATGCTCTGTAGGCATTATATATCAGACAAGTTGATTGAAAAAAGTGATGTGTATAGCTTTAGAGTGGTTCTCTTAGAGTTAATGACATGCAAATTTGTGATTAAGAGATCCCAAGAGAGAACTCACATCAGTCAATGGGTGAGTTTCATGCTTGCAAAGGCAAATATTAAAAACATAGTCGATCCAAGACTATAGGGTGACTTTGACATTAACTCTGTCCGAAAAGCTATAGAAATAGCAAAGGCTTGTATATCTCCAATTGCCACCAAAAGGCCAACCAGGAATAAAGTACTCATCGAATTGAATGAGTGTTTGGCAATGGAGATAGCTCGTAAAAAGATGGACAATGACATTGAATCAAAAGATTCTATTGAATTGAACAATTCAGATCACCATGTTGAATCATATCTCATAACAAGGTAGCACTGCTTTCTCAATATATGTCTTGCTTTAGTACTATTTATGTATAGTGTGGCCCGATTAGACCTTCTTTTGACTTCAGTTTTATATTTCGTGCTTTGAGGAGAAAGCAACTATGCTTCTATTGCAGTTAATGTACAAATCCTTAATTGTATTATAACAGCAAATATACCTATGTAAGTATGTCAAGAAATCATCATTTCATCATCAATGTAAGATTAATTGGAGTCTGTAGTGTTGGAAATTAGAAACTTTAAGCTGATAATTATTGGAAACTAGTCAGAATTAGTTATAACCTTTTGGGAGACTAAATAATCAATCATCTCAGAGTTAGACAACTTCAAATATTCTGCTGACATCTGAAAATTGAATACTAAGCAGATGGCAAATATGTATTTCACACAATGTTCAGGTCCACTTTACTTCTCAAAGTTTTAGCTCCACTTCACTTCTCAAAGTTTTAGCTCTTCTGCTATCATCAATAGTAACATCTCAATTTCCAATCAGCATTCTCTACTATGGGCCCCTGAACGAAAATTCGTCCAGTTTGTCACTAGGCCAATGGTGTTATTATTGGGCTAAGTTTATAATCTGGACTAAGTTTATGGATATTGGGCTCAAGGGTTATTGCCACGAGAAGTGACTTTTAATCCCATCAAAGTGATCTTTATCCCCTATTGTTAAATACACTTTTTTTATATTAAAAAAAAAAATTCTCTATAAATCCTAGTTAATAATGAAAATAGCCCTCCTTAATAAGGTTTAATTAGGGTTTTATTTGCAGTTATTTTCCCCCAATTTCAAATTTAACTAGGGTTTTTAATTAAACCACTTTTCCCTAATACCCATTTTTTTCCAATTTCAAATTTGATACTTATTTTTCCCTTTTCAAATTCAGATTCATCATGTTGTGTGATTACTCTTTTCATAACTTTACTAATATATTTTCATCAAAAAAATAATTATTTGAATAAAAAAATGTTTCAATGATTTAGAAAATTTAGATTTAGGGTTTATGTAAGGATCAAAGGTTAAAAACTAAAACAAATATATAAAATAAAGACTGGATATAGAAATCATTATGTCATTAAGGTTAAATTTGTCAAAAATAAATACATTTAAAAGTAGGATATATAGACCAATTTGATAGGGGCTAAAAATTACTTTCTATTGTCACAACTGCTCTCCTGCCATGGGTATTAGGCTTAAGGGTTATTATCACTTCAAATAATGCTTGTGTGAAGCTCAAAAGCTAATAGATGAAAATCAATTAACAAGAGAAAGAACAAAACCCACATCATTCAGTTTATAAGTTTATGATTCACATCACTTCATCATAGTTGTCCTTTTCACTGTTAGTTTAATCTAGTTCGAACTCCATCTTGATATAAATATTTGTATTTTGTAAATCCTGACAAAGGAAGAATAGGTCAAAGGTAAATCATTGAATCAGTCACCCTTATAATAGAAGTCTTTTTCAAGATATACTTAATGTCATAGCCAAAGTCAATGAATCAACCCTTACGATAGAAGTCTTTCTCTAGACACTTAATGCCCAAGGATCAGGTTGGCGATTGAATTTTCTTCTCATAGATAGGCTAATGTCCTTGTCTGTTGTCCCCAACCTTCTCACTTTTATGTATCACAAGATAATACAATTAAATTTATATATTATGCAAATGCCCCATGAAAATTCCAAATGGTGCTAAAATTTAGTTGGAATGAATAAATATTATATATTATATTATTTCACATGATATTGATTGTTTTGTATTTTGTAGTTCAATTGGTAACTAAAATGGAAAGCAGCTATGCTTCTATTGCAGTTAATTGTCTGATAGCAGCGAATATACTCTTGAATCCTATGTATGTATGTCAAGAAATCATTATTTCATCATCAATTTTAGATTAATTGGAGGGTATAGTGTTGGAAATTAGAAGCTCTCAGTTGATCACCAATGGAATTAGTCGGAATTTGTTATAACCTTTTGGTTTTAGGAGCTTAAATAATCAACCATGTCAAATCTGAAAATAGAATACTGGACATATGAGAAATATATGTTTTACACAAATATGCAGGTCCAATTTAAGCTTACATATTTTGTTTGTGATTCACATCACTAGGCCAGTGCTGTTCCTTTCACCTTGGTTATGAATAAAATAGCTTGATATATATAACAAATTGATAGTACTGAGACAATTTCAAAATGATATTAATTGGTATTTCAATTATTAACCAATAAGATTTATTAACGTCTTAGTAATTTTTAGAACAAAGAAATTCTCAAATTCCTACTAATATTTCCTCTTTTTTATGTGTTATATTACTCTCAACAAAGTACTCTATGTTGATTAAATAACACTTTAATCCAAAAAAAAAATTTAGGAAATAAAGAATTCTTATTTATTTCATGAATAATACTTTGGGTACTAATGGATGAGTACTAATATGTGTACTAACTAAAGCATAGTATCCATACTATGCGCATAATATGGATACTATGCTTTAGTTAGTACACATATTAATACTCATCCATTAGTACCCATAGCATCACTCTTATTTCATTCTTGAGATTATGTTGACTTGTACCTACAGACACGTAAATGGATAAGTCTTCATATTAAAATCAACAAGAATTTGATTAAACTAACTAAAATAAAGAATTCTTATTTATTTTCATCAGTGCCGTCCCTTTCACTATTAGTATGACCTAGTTTGAACTCCATCTTGATATAAATACAGTATTTGTATGTTGTCTGCATCACCTCTTTTAACATCAGAGAATTGGTCATATTTAGTAAATCCTGACAAAGGATGAGCAAGTCAAAGGTAAATCATTAAATCAGTCACCTTACGATAGAAGTCTTTTCCCGATATATTTAATGTCATAGCCAAAGTCAATGAATCAACCCTTACCGTAGAAGTCTTTCTCTAGATACTTAATGCCCAGGGACCAGGTCGGTTGGCCATTAATTTTCCTTCTCATAGATAGGCAAATGTCCTTGTCTGCTGTCCCCTACCTTTTCACATTTTTAATTTTTATATCACAAGATAATATAATTGAATTTATATATTCTGCAAATGCCCCATGAAAATTAATTACAGATGGTACTAAAATTTAGTTACGATAAATAATATTATATATGACTATTACCAGTACAGCAATATGCTTACACGAAAAACTGACTAATATTCCATAGTGCTATAAATTGTTCAATACACAGGATGAAAACAAATTGGCAATGGATCGAGGTCTTAAAGAAGACAAAGTCAATGAATCAACACTAGCCATAAAAGTCTTTCTCAAGTCAAGAGTACTTTCTCAGGGTCAGGGATGAGTTAGGCGATTAATTAATTGCTTCCTCTTCGTATTGGTTGATGTTCTTGTCTTAGCGTTGAAAAACTCCACCACATAAAGNAAGCAGGAACTTATCATCGAGTGGAATAGCCGGAGATATATCGTATTACATATCAAGTCTCACATCAATACAAATCCTGTAAGCATCACACAACATAACATGAACCAATGTAAGTTTTCATCCCATAGATGACGAGAACCAAGTGAGCTTAATATTTTCAATCACCATTTCAGGGACTTATCAAACAATAGTTTGACAGGAGGAGTGCCCGATTTTCTATCAGAGCTACAACACTTGACTGTCCTGTAAGTTCCTTTATCAGGATGATGGTGAATAAGCTATAAACTTTGGTAGGAGAGCCTAGATTTATTTTAAAAAGTCTTGGGCGGTCTTGTTATCTATTCAGCTAAACAGAACTCTTACCATAAAAACAATGGATCATAATTACTAAATATTAATTCCTTCGCAGAAACTTGACTGGAAACAGATTTGAAAGTTCAATTCCAGTTGGACTCACGGAAATGAAGAAGAATGGTCTGATACTAAGGTGATATTTGTGCAAATTTTTTTATCAATGTGAAGCTTACAAGTTACAAACAGATTTCATGTGCCAAATCAATTAACATTTTGGGGGAAACCAGCCGAGATGATCTATCAATTAAATGCCAGAAAATATTGCAATTATGTATAAGATCATCGGATTCACGTGATCTGGAGCCCTAGATTGTTGTTAAAGTAACCTTTCGATTTTTATTAGGTGTGGACGGGAATCCAAATCTTTGTTCTGCAGCTTCTTGCACAGAGAAGAAACGTTTTATTGTTCCAGTACTAGCAGCGGTTGTTTCAACTTCTGCCCTCTCAACTGTAATGGCTATTTTGTGGAGCTTTAAAAGAAGAAACAGAGGTACGAACACAATTTTTATTTTTCAAGATGAAACTAAGGGTCATTTCGTTGATTAAATATTACAAGACTGATCCCCTAAACAATTTCTGCATCTGTATCTTGATTTTATTTTCTTTATTTTTTCTAATCAAATCTGAATCCATAAATGTACTCTCCACTATGGTGAATCAAATGAGATAATGAAAAAATTTCAATGCAGAAAACAAATGGTGGTTATCATTGATTATAGTAGGAGCAGCTCTATTGGTTCCTCTGTTTTGCTACTTCTGCTATTCAATATGGAGAATTCACCAGGCAAAAGGTAACAGCTAGGAACAACTAAATATGATTTCAAAGTATCAATGGAATCTTATTTCTTATATCTTTCAAAAAATTTTCTGTATTTAGGTACAAAGATGACGTTTATGATCGCATAGGTCTCCTACAACGGTACAACTGCAAATCAATAAATACCTCGCTCAAAGTCTTCTATAGAGCATTATGATACTACCGTCTACCGTCATGCAGACTGCGCGCGTACCGGCAGATCCAATTCTTTGCAGTTCAATATCAAGCCTACAGAGCAACTCTCCAATATTATGTCGGCTTCTACTTTGCTGAATGCTGAGGTTGAAAATCTCCCATCCAACCAGACTAGAGAAATTGACATATTTTTAATGAAGGAAATGGTCGGATGAGTCTGAACTTCCTAGATACTTGGAGGGAGACGGTACTACGGCATAGCCAAAGGCAAGATAAATTGAGTTTTCAACAACAAAATTGGGAATCGACGCTACCGCCCATCCTCAATGCCTTCGAGATTTATAGAGTGCAGAGTTTCAGCAACTGCTAACAAACCAAAACGATGGTCTGTTTTTCTACCTTACGATGTTTTTTCTTTCGATTATTTTCTGTTCTTAATGGAGGGATAAGTAGAGCAAATCACCACCATGAATATAATATTTTCTTTTCATGTTAAAATAATTAGTTGATGCCATCATGATATAAAGTCAAAATAGATAAAAATGGCAAGGAGATCCATGTGCCCCTAAACTTCACTTGTGGCATCTTAATTGCAGCGACGATGATTATGATCCCCCAAGATCATATCCCTGTAATTTTACCTTCTTCACCTGACTAGCGCAACAATCTTTTAAAAATATGAATAACCAAGCGGAACTTATCATCGAGTGGAATAGCGGAGATATATCGTATTACATATCAAGTCTCCATCATCAAAATCCTGTCACTCACACAACGTAACATGAACCAGTAATTTTTCATCCCATAGATGGAACCAAGTGAGCTTAATATTTTCAATCACCATTTCAGGGACTTATCAAACAATAGTTTGACAGGAAGATGCCGGATTTTCTATCAGAGCTACAACACTTGACAGTCCTGTGAGTTCCCTGATCAGGATGATAGAATAACGATAACTTTGATAGAAGCCTAGATTTATTTTAAAAGTCTTGGACGGTCTTAATATCTATTCATTAAACATAGCTCTTAGCATAAAACAGAGGATTACATTACTAATATTTTTTCGCAGAAACCTGACAGGAAACAGACTTGAAGGTTCAATTCCAGTTGGACTCATGAAATGAAGAAGAATGGTCTGATACTAAGGTATCTTTATACAAACTTTAAATCAATTAACAAGTTGGTAACTTGTTCCAATTAAATGCCAAAAAAAAAAAAAAAAAAAAAAAAAAAAAAAAGTCAATTATGCAAGAGCATCGGATTCTCGTGATTTGGAGCCCTATTGTTGTTAACATCACCTTTTGGTTTTGATTCAGCGTGGACAGGAATCCAAAACTTTGTCCTGAAGCTTCTTGCACAGAGAAACAATTATATTGTTCCAGTAACTAGCAGCAGCTCTGTCATTCTCACTGCTGTTAACTGCAATGGCTATTTTATGAAACCTTAAAACAAGACATCAAGGTACAAATACCGCTACAATTGTCCAATCAATTGTCACGTAATCCCAATTTCATGCTTATTAAATCATTATAATTAATAATTATTTCTTGCAGTTGGGAAGAGGAATGGGTCGTTAGAGCAAGAAATCTAAGGTTTTCATACTCTGATCTGGTGACGATTACCAACAACTTTGAAAGGGCAGTTGGGAAAGGGAGTTGGAACAGTTTACCACGGATACTTAGATATACTCAGTAGCTGTAAGATCTCTCGTCCATCATCAGTTCAAGGGTATAAGCATTTCATAGGGGGTATAATGAAAGTACTTGTACAAAGATTTTTTCTACTTCTTCGTATTTGCATGGTACTAATTTGCGTTGGTTCTTCACAGGTCAAACTTCTAATGAGATTCATCATAAAATTTGACAACTCTTGTTGGGTATTGCGATGAGGGCTAAACATGGGGCTTATTTATGAGTTCATGGCTAATGGCAACTTGGAAACACCTCTTAGGTCTGTTGTTCCTTCACAATACATAAATCATTCTCCTTTGATATTTCAAATTAATTTTGCGAGTTTAAGGTGCTTTATCTTTTGTCGTGCAGCACAAGATGATGCAATATATTTATTGGAGGGAGACTTCGTATATCAGTAGAGGCGGCACAAGTTGGAATTATCATATATGCATATTTTTTTTCCACCAATTTTTGTTAAAAATCTCTGATTTCCTAAGTTAGTAACTAAATGAACTAATATGTATTGAACTCGAAATGTAGGATTGGAGTATCTGCATAGTGTTGTAAGCCCCCTGTTATGCCTGGGAAAATAAGCTGACGTGGGAAAGTCACGTGAGAGTGACTGCTCCCTCAAGCAACAAGCACACTCAGACCTGCCAAATGATATGGAAGCTCCCACGTGTCCCTTTCCCCTGCAGATAAATCGGGCGATCAGCTTGGGACGAGAGCAATGTGACATAAAGCCGGATTATCTCCTGACCACACAACCCTGTTATTTAATTAGGATTACACGCTTAGTTTGATATGAAAAGAAGAAGACCCTCATTAAGGGGATTCGCCACTTTTTAAACTGAGAAACTGTCTCTCCTTAACCAACACCTTTACTTTTCAAATCTTTTGTAAGTCAGTCGCGCTGTTTCGACTGACCCACACTATCAATATATACATCAGTTGGACGTAGGACTTGCTACCTGTAGCATCCGAACCACTGTTAAAACTCCTCGTTGCAATTTATTCGCTTTCTAGATTGTACTCGACGTGTGCTTCTTGACCATCAACGCTGCGCACAAAATTAGTTGGTGTCAAATCCCATCACGTTTGGCGCTAGAGGTCTGATTTCGTGTCTACCCTCATCAGATCTTTGACCTACGGGTCGTTACAGCACAAATGGCCTGCCAACTGAACCTGGCAGCTAACAGCGTGCTGGAAGGAGTCCCACTATCCCAGAGGGACACCCCTTCCAACATACCGTCAGTTCGCCAAATGCGCTGGGGATCATCCCGCAGCTCCGCAACTCGACCTGTCCATCAGAAGCTACCTAAGAGGTTCGACAATCCTCTCCAACGTTCAACCAGAGTTGGACCGTTTGGACCAAGGCAGTCATCTACTACAGCCGGGGCGGTCAACCGCCAAAGCGCCTGCGCGAGCAAGCGCGCAAGATAGCCTGTGCCGCGAGCACGCAGCGCTAGCGCAAGGGTAAGCAAGTGCAAAAGTAAGCCTACAGGCTCCCCAAGGACCAGCAATACAAAGCGCCCCGAGCGGGGGTCGCAAAGCTGAGACCTGTGACAAAGTGAATCCCGACGTCCCATGCCACACGTCGCAGGCAAACCCAAGCGAAATGCTGGGCGCGAGTGATTCCTATCACCACCAGCAGAACGATCCCGATCGTTATCATGCGGGGGCCCCCACACCTCGGCGGGCTGTTCGTACCACCGCGAGGGTCGTGAACATGCCCCGCCACTCCATCGCCTTCACACGCCTCTAGTCACGTGTGTCAAGCGGCTGGCATAAAACCGCGAGCCGAGGGAGATACCACCTCTGAACTTTCTTGAACGCAAACCGAGAAGGCCGGCTCGCACGGGTGAAGCAATCCCCATTTGTTCCATTACCGCAAATTGAGGAGCTACGCGAGCTCTGGACGAGTTAAGGGAGCAGCAAAAACGAACAGCGCAGGTCGCCTCTCTGCATCCCCTTTTTTCTCCCGAAGTGCTAGCGGCTCCACTTCCACTAGGGTTCCAATGCCAGATATGCGCCGTTTGATGGAAACTATGATCCGCAGGATCATTATATGAGTGTCAACACCTGATGAGCTCCACCAGGTTTCGGACCTTGCAAATGCCGTTGTTTAGCCGTGACGCTGACTTCTCACGCCAAGCGGTGGTTAGGTCGCTCCCAGCAGAGTCGATCTGTTCGTGGCCTCAGATGAGCACGACTTCCTGCGGCACTTCCAAGCCAATCAGAAGTTTTTCAATGCCTTTGAGCTACCTCAGCAGCTAAGGCAAGAAAGAGCGAATCCCTGCAGTCTTACATTGACCGCTTCCACAGGGAACTCCCACAAGGTGGCTCACGCTCCAGAATAGTCCATCCGAACCTCTTATAATACTAGAGTTTCGCCTGCAAACTACCTGTGGAAAGAACTGCAGGCTGAGGCACGATTTCCCCTCACCAGATTCTACAACCTGCCAGAAAGATCTCTGAATAGAAATTCATTGGCGGCACTCCGCCGTCGCATCACGGGGCACTTTCCAGCAGTATGCCTGTCGGGAGATATAGGCAAGCTAAATCGCAAAGGAGACATTGACGATCAGCGAAAAGGGAAGAAACCCCCTACGAGCAGAAAAGTCCTGCTCCTGTTTCCTCGTCGCGACGCGACAGGACTCAATACACTCCGCTGAATGTGTCCTATCTGCAATCCTCGACAAATCCGAGGAGGCCAGCCTGCTCGTGACTCGAACCCATGAAACCCCTGCTACGGCCAGAACACAACAAAAAATACTGCGTTACCATCGGTGTAATGGCATCTTATTGATGAATGCGAGCTCTAAAGCAGGCTATCGAAGACTCATCAGAAGGGGCACTTCAAGGAGTACTTTATGACTCCCCAAAAGAAAGCGAAGGGAGAAAGAAAAAGCGTCGTGATCACAGCGGTAACAGCAGTGTAAGTAATAATTTTCGGAGGTCCTACCTCGCGGAAACACGCTAGGAGCGCAGGAAGGTATTCCCGCGAAGCCCCATGACCCGATCAAGGGTAATGAACACTTCGCAGCGACCTCAAAAGCCGAAGGAGGACCAATCACCTTCTACGAGAAAGAGGCAGCTCGCTTGCACCATCCTCAGAGGATCCTCTGTGATTACGCCCCTGATAGGGTGTCATAATGTTCTACAAGATGCTCGTACACATGAAGCGCTGTGAACATCCTGTTCAGTCCACTTTCGATGAATGAACCTAGTCGAGGCCGACCTGAAGCCAGCCTCATGCCTCTGTACAGTTTTACAGGGATCCCCTGATCCCCAGCGGAACAATCCAGCTACCAGTCACGCTCGGCGACTACGACGAGGTGACTAGGGTAACCAAATTTTTGGTCGTGGACTACCCATCGCCTTCAATGGAATCTTGGGGCGACCTCTGCTGGAACCTTCAGGCATGTCACTTCCATTTATCATCTCAAGATGAAGTTCCCCACTCCAACGGGATAGGGGGTAAGCGGATCGCAAAGCGCATCTCGCGAATGCTATGTAAGCGGTCCAAATGGCCGACAAGGGAAAGGCATTTCGCGATGTACCCCCGCTAGGCTATGGCGATCAGCCGGATCGAGCCACAGCCGGTCGGCAGAGGATAACAGATCCGATTCAGGAACTCCCCCCAAGCGGCCCAGTGAGGATCTGTCTGAGTTTCGGTTGATCCAAAAGTTCGAGCCGAATGCTAAAGATCGGAAACTGTCTCCAACCCTCAGCTCGCTTCCGAGCTGGTAAGCTTCTGATAGAACATTGACGTGTTCGCCCTGGTCGCATGCGATTGGTCGGGATCATCCCGGACATTATTTTGCCATTCACTGAACGTCAGCAGTGAAGCCAGCCCGTTCGCCAAAAAAAGGCGATGTTCCGAGCGGATACGCCGCACTAAAATCAGAAGTGGAGAACCTTCTCCAAATGATCCATTCGCGAGGCCCTCTACCGACCTGGGTTGCCAACCCGGTCCTGGTTGAAGCCAAATGGCAAGTGGCTACCTGCATAGACTTCACGACCTAAACAAGCTTGCCCAAAAGACACTTCCCCCTACCAAGAATCGATCAGCTCGTTGTGGCCACCTCGGGGCCGAGCTGTTAAGCTTCATGGATGCATACTTGGGATCAATCAATCCCGATGTAGAGGCTAGATGAGGAGCATGCGACCTTCATTAGGACCGGGCTATACTGTACAAAAGTCATGCCCTTCGGCCTCAAGAATGCGTGCGACCTATCAGAGGTTGTCAACCGAATGTTCTTCGACCAATCGGGAGACATGGAGGTCTATGTGGACGACATTCTGGTCAAATCCCAGTGTTGCCTCAAACATATTGCGCATCTCGCTGAGATGTTTGACATAACCCGACTCTACAAAGAAGCTGAACCCTCTCAAATGTTCATTCTGGGTATCGTTAGGAAGAAGTTCCTAGGATATATAGTCAATCAGCGGGGCATAAAATAACCCCGAGAAGATTCAAGCTCTGCTCATATGAAGCCCGACCAGCAAAAGCTTGTCATGAGTTTGAACGGGCGAATAGCGGCACTTAGTCGCTTCATATCAAGGCTAACAGACCGCTGCTTACCATTCTTCAACGTCCAAAGGCCAAAAAATTCGAGTGGACTCCCGAATGCGAGCAGGCATTCCAGAGTATAAAAGAACATCTTGGGAAGCCACCGCCCTCTCTCT